ATCCCATGGGCCTGGGAGATGTAGGCTGCAGTGAGCACTGATCAAGCCACTGCACTCCAGCCTAAGTGACAGATGGAGACTGTCTCAAACAAAACAAACTAGGCAAAAAAGCTAAGGATAGCACCTTTGAATTTGTCTCTAAATTGTCATTCAAAGTCTTGGGCCCCCACTAAAGGAATTCCCTGGTAATTAGACACTAGATAAAGCAGAAGTGAAGACTGTACTCTAATTATCCTCCTTTGTTTTAGGTTTCTTCCTGAAGGACTTGAAGTCACTTCCTCTACCCAGGTAACGTTTTTCTGCTGACCCCCAAATTTTAAACAAAGTTGTTCTTCCCTAACCAATTGCAAATCAGGAAATCTTTAAATCTACCTATGACCTGTAAGCCCCAGCTTTAAAATATCCCACCCTTTCAAGCATAAACCAATGAGTAATCTCCATGTATTCATTTGTTATTTTGTGTGTAGCATCTACAGTCCTAAAACTTACTCCTGCTTCTAAAAATCCCTGCCTGCAATCCAGTTGGGGAGGTCAGGATTTAAGACTATACCTGTGTGGTCCTCCTTGATTGGAACCCTGCAATAAAAGGCTTTTTCCACATGACTTCAAACCCCAGTGTAAATGCCTTGCTTTCCAGGGCAAGGCAACTGGACCACAGTTCTGTCCTCCACCCCCGGGGCTCTGGTCGCGGCTGGAAATAGGCTTTCTCCCACATCTTTCTCACTTTCATGTAGGAAATAAGTAGTTTCCTTCTTTAAAATCAAAACTGTTTTATCCTCAGGATATATACCTTCACAGATAGCATAAAGTTAACTTTTCAGAATATGTTTATCAGCCAGGTAGAGTGGCTCACAGCTGTAATCCTAGCACTTTTGGATACTAAGGTGGGAGGATTGCTCACAGCTAGTGTTCACAACCAGCCTGAGCAATGGAATGAAAACCTGTCTCTATGAAAGGAATAAAAACTGAGCTAAGAATGGTGGTACCTGTCTGTAGTCATAGCTCCTCAGAAGGCTAAGGCAGGAGGATCATTTGAGCCCAAGAGTTTAAGGCTACAGGGAACTATGATTGTACCACTGCACTTCAACCTGGGTGACAAAGGGATACCGTCTCCCAAAACACACACACACACACACACACACACAAATACATATATAAATATATGTATATAAATATCCTATATATTTTACTTATGCATTTTAGTTATGTTTAAATATATATGCATATTTATATACAAAATGTAAATATGTATATTTCACTTTATTTACTTATTTTTTGAGACGGAGTTTCACTCTTGTTGCCCAGGCTAGAGTGCAATGGCGCAATCTCAGCTCACCACAACCTCTGCCTCCCAGGTTGAAGTGACTCCTGCCTCAGCCTCCCAAGCAGCTGGGATTACAGGCACCTGCCATGCCTGGCTAATTTTGTATTTTTAGTAGAGATGGGGTTTCTCCATGTTGGTCAGGCTGGTCTTGAACTCCTGACTTCAGGTGATCTGCCCACCTCCGCCTCCCAAAGTGCTGGGATTACAGGTGTGAGTCACTGTACCTGGCCTATTTTATTTTATTGTGTAATGAAGTCTCACCATGTTGCCCAAGCTGGTCTTGACCTCTTCAGCTTAAGCAATCTTCCTGCCTTGACTTCCCAAAATGCTGAGATTACAGTGAGTCTCTGCAGTGAGTCCTTCCATGCATTTGAAGTTCTGAGGCCCATCTAAGGACTTTACCATATTGCTTACATCCACAGAGTTTCTAGCCAGTGTGAGTCCTTACATGCTTATGAAGGGCTGAGGCAGATCTAAAGGCTTTCCCACACTGCTTACATTCATAGGGTTTCTCTCCAGTGTGAATCTTTTCATGATAGAGAAAAGAGTTGGAAGAAATGAAGGCTTTTCCACATTGTTTACATTTATAAGGTTTCTCTCCAGTGTGAGTCCTTTTATGATAGCGAATGGAATTGGAAGAAATGAAGGCTTTTCCACATTGCTTACACTCATAGGGTTTCTCTCCTGTGTGAGTCCTTTCATGCATTTTAAGTTGTGAGGCAACTCTAAAGGCTTTCCCACATTGCTTACATCCGTAGGGTTTCTCTCCTGTGTGAGTTCGTATGTGCTTTTGAAGGATTGAGGCAGATCGGAAAGCTTTCCCACATTGCTCACACTCATAGGGTTTCTCTCCAGTGTGAGTCCTTTCATGATAGTGAAAAGAGTTAGAAGAAGTGAAGGTTTTCCCACATCGTTTACATTCAAAAGGTTTCTCTCCAGTGTGTGTCCTTTCATGGATTCGAAGATCCTTGACAAAACTGAAGGCTTTCTCACATTTCTTACATTCATAAGGTTTCTCTCCAGTGTGAGTCTTTTCATGATAGCGAAAGGAAGTGGAAGAAATAAAGCCCTTACCACACAGCTTACACTCATAGGGTTTCTCTCCAGTGTGTTTTCTTTCATGTACTCGCAGGTACTTGACAGATCTGAAGGCTTTCCTACATTGTGTACACTCATAGGGTTTCTCTCCACTGTGAGTCCTTTCATGATACTGAAAGGAACTGGGACAATTGAAAGCTTTACCACATTGTGTGCATTTATAGCGTTTCTCTCCAGTGTGACTTTTCTCGTGTCTTTTTAACGAACTGGGAGAAAAAAAGGCTTTCCCACATATGTTACAGTTATGAGGTCTCTCTCCAGTGTGCATTCTCATGTGTGTTTGAAAGCTTATAAGATAAGATAATGCTTTCCCACATTGCTTACATTCATAGGGTTTTTTTGCAGAGTGGATTCTTTCATGTCTACGAACAGAACTGGGAAACCTGAATGCTTTCCCACATTCCTTACATTCATAACGCTTTCCCCCAGTGTGAGTTCTTCCATGTATTGAAAGGCTACTGGAATAACTAAAGGCTTTCAGGTGCCTATTAAGAGATGAAAGACCCATGCCGATTTCCCCACACACACTGCTGTCATGTGATTTTACTCCAGGAGTTTTCTTCTTCAGTGTGTCATCTGGAACCTGCGTCAAAACTTCTCCATGCTGATGACTTTCTTTACTTTCAGAGAGTCTCTCTTTTATAAGTCTTCTGTGAACAATGAAAAGCACATTATAATGGGTTTATCACTAATTTTTATTCATTTGCAAGTATTGGACTTGCATTTTTAACAGTGCCCAGTTAGCCAGGCGCAGTGGCTCACGCCTGTAATCCCAGCACTTTGGGAGGCCGAGGCGGGCAGATCACTGAAGGTTGGGAGTTCGAGACCACCCTGACCAACATGGAGAAACCCCGTCTCTACTAAAAATTAAAAATACAAAATCAGGCCGGGCGCGGTGGCTCAAGCCTGTAATCCCAGCACTTTGGGAGGCCGAGACGGGCAGATCACGAGGTCAGAAGATCGAGACCATCCTGGCTAACACGGTGAAACCCCGTCTCTACTAAAAAATACAAAAAACTAGGGCCGGGCGCGGTGGCTCACGCCTGTAATCCCTGCACTGTGGGAGGCCGAGGTGGGCGGATCACGAGGTCAGGAGATCGAGACCATCCTGGCTAACACGGTGAAACCCCGTCTCTACTAAAATACAAAAAATTAGCCGGGCGCGGTGGCGGGCGCCTGTAGTCCCAGCTACTCGGGAGGCTGAGGCAGGAGAATGGCGCGAACCCGGGAGGCGGAGCTTGCAGTGAGCCGAGATGGTGCCACTGCACTCCAGCCTGGGCGACAGAGTGAAGACTCTGCCTAAAAAAAAAAAAAAAATACAAAAAACTAGCTGGGCGAGGTGGCGGGCGCCTGTAGTCCCAGCTACTCGGGAGGCTGAGGCAGGAGAATGGCGCGAACCCGGGAGGCGGAGCTTGCAGTGAGCTGAGATCCAGCCACTGCACTCCAGCCCGGGCCACAGAGCAAGACTCCGTCTCAAAAAAACAAAAACTAAATAAATAAATAAATAAATAATAATAATAAAAAATACCGTGCCCAGCAAAGTGTAGGCTTTCTGTCCTGTCTGAACATGAATGGAGCACATGTTATAAAAGATGGCCCAGCCATATCTCTTATCAAAAAAGATAATATTGATACAGGAATTTTAAATGCTTTATTTTCATTATTATTATTTTTTTGAGACCAGGTCTCACTCTGTTGCCAGGCTGGAGTGCAGTGGTGTGATCTCGGCTCACTGCAACCTCCGCCTCCCAGGTTCAAGCAATCCTCCTGCCTCAGCCTCCCAAGAGACTACAGGCACACACCACCATGCCCAGCTAATTTTTTGTATTTTTAGTAGAGACGGGGTTTCATCATGATGGCCAGGATGGTCTTGATCTCTTGACCTCATGATCCACCTACCTCAGCCTTCCAAAGTGCTGGGATTTCAGGTGTCAGCCACCATGTCTGGCTTTTAAATGCTATTTTAAAGTAAATTATTTTATAAATACTGTCTTTGTCTGTTTGTTTTTGAGTCAGGGTCTCACCCTGTGGCCCAGGCTGCCCTCCAGTGATGCCATCATGAGTCAGTGCAACTTCAAACTCCCCGGTTCAAGTGATCTTCCATCCTGACCTCCAAAAGGGCTGGATTATACATATAAGCCATGTCACACTTTATATGTTTCTAGGGAAGCTTTTCTAAGAATAAATACATTGGAACTAGGTTTATTTCTTATGCTTGCTTCTTTTTAACATTTTCTTCCATTCTAAGATCATCTACAGAGACATTATTTTCTCTTGTAAGTGCCAGTTACCTTAGGTTTCTCCTAGGATTTTGGTGCTCATCTTCAATGTACTGGTTGTTCCACTTTTTTCCTAAAATGCGAACCCAGAAAAAGTCCTGAATTAGTATAAAATTATAAAAAAGGTTAATTGATTCTATGTCCATGGTTCATTGCACCTGTGCCTTATTTATTCAAAGTATTCCCTGACCATATTCCAAATCACTCAACAGCACTGATGAGCTAGAAACACCTATTCTTTAATTCACTAAGGGAAGTAATACTGTCATTCTTACCTATGGAGGCCAGGTTCCTCAAGGTTTCCTGCATCACTTCCCTGTAGAGATTTTTCTGGGAAGGATCCAGCAAAGCCCACTCCTCCTGGGTGAAGTTCACAGCCACATCCTCAAAGGCCACCGAATCCTGAAATATCCCACATATAGACAGGAGGATGAGTGAGGCTGACAGCACTGGGTTCCTACACCCTGTTCCTAGGAAGTTCTCAGGATGCTACGGTGTGTGGACTGCAAACATTTATTCCATGACTTGGTCATCAGACCCCTTACTCTCTGTCTACACTCACTTTTTTACAGAAAACAATTTTGATGCTAGAATTGAACTCTGGATGGGGTAAAGCAACAGCAGAATAGGAAAATGTGTGTTTCTGGTGAGTCCAGGGAGAAAGGCGTGCTGCCTGGACTGCCCTTAATGTCTGAAGTATGGATCTGCGGCACCTGTCATAACAAACTCCTTTGAATTCATGAGCAAAACAAAGTTAACATTAGCAGCCCTAAGGCTGCATATTCTTGAAAATGCCTGTTCACAAAGTTTAACCTTTGTGATGACTAGAAAGTGGGTTTTGTTCTGATTCCAGTAGCAGAAGCCAAAAACAAAAAAAAATGGATTTTGCAAGGGGCTTTATTAATCTAACTGATAAGAGAGTCTGGCTGGGCATGGTGGCTCACACCTATAAATCCCAGTACCTTAGGAGGCGAAGGTGGGCGGATCACCTGAGGTCAGGAGTTTGAGACCAACCTGGCCAACATGGCAAAACCCCATCTCTACTAAAAATAATAAAATTAGCCAGGTGTAGTGATGGGCTCTTGTAATTCCAGCTACTTAGGAGGCTGAAGCAGGAGAATCACTTGAACCCAGGAGGCAGAGGTTGCAGTGAGCCAAAAACATGCCACTGCACTCCAGCCTGGGTGACAGAGCCAACTCTGTCAGTTAAAAAAAAAAAAAAAATTCTAATTGATAAGAGAGTCATAACTAAAACAAAAACTCATGAACAGAAACCTTTCTGGGAAACTGTACGTGAATAGAAAAACCTAAACTGGGCTTGGCACGGTGGCTCATGCCTGTAATTCCAGCACTTTGGGAGGTCAAGGCAGGTGGATCACCTGAGGTCAGGAGTTCAAGACCAGCCTGATCAATATGGTGAAACCCCGTCTCTACTAATAGATAATCCCAAGTGTTGGTAAACCACAAAAATAAAGACACACACATGAAAGGCTAGATGGTTGATCCGTACATACACTCTACTGGCATTATCTTTTACATTGGAATTTATCCATAATCTACAACCCAGTGACCTTTCCCCCAATATGTGAAAAATTTATGTTGCATTTTCATATGACCAAAAAAAAAAAAAACACAACCATGACATTGTCACCAAGGTCAAAAACTAAACTGTAAACCCAAAACCCATTAAGTAGTGAAATGCTAAGTAAACTGGGCGACCCATGAGGCAAACAGTCAGAAACAAACCCTTTTGGTATAACATGAAAGGTACATTAATTGCAACACCAAGTTACTGGAAACTCCAAACAGCCAAAATTCTACTTTGTGATAATGGAAAATATGGCAGGCCTGGCGAGGTGGCTCACGCCTGTAATCCCAGCACTTTAGGAGGTGGACGTGGGTGGATCATCTGAGGTCAGGAGTTCGAGACCAGCCTGGCCAACCTGGTGAAACCCCGTCCCTACTAAAAATACAAAAATCAGCTGGGCTTGGTGGTGGGCGCTTGTGATCCCAGCTATGCGGGAGGCCGAGGCAGGAGAATCACTTGAACCTGTGAGGTGGAGATTGCAGTGAGCCAAGATCACACACTGCACTCCAGCCTGGGCAACAGAGCAAGACTCTGTCTCAAAAAAAAAAAAAAAGGCTTGGCGCAGTGGCTCAGCACTTTGGGAGGCTGAGGAGGGTGGATCACAAAGCACAAAGTCAGGAGTTTGAGACCAGCCTGGCCAATATGGTGAAACCCCGTCTCCACTAAAAATACAAAAAGTAGCTGGGCGTGGTGGCAGGCACCTGCAGCCCAGCTACTCAGGAAGCTGAGGCAGGAGAATCGCTTGAACCCAGGAGGCAGACGTTGCAGTGAGCCGAAATCATGCCACTGCACTCCAGCCTGGGTGACAGAGGGAAAACCCCTTCTCAGCATAACTACACCCCATCTCTAAAAAAAAAAAAAAAAGAAAGAAAGAACAAAAAAGATAATGCAGCTACAAAGAATAACAAAAAGAAGGCTGGGTGAGGTGGCTCATGTGTGTAATTCCAGCACTTTGGGAGATGGATCACCTAAGGTCAGGAGTTCAAGAACAGCCCAGCTAAAGTGGTAAAACCCCATCTCTACTAAAAATACAAAAATTAGCCAGGCGTGGTGGCAGGTGTCTGTAATCCCAGCTACTTGGGAGGCTGAGGAAGGAGAATCGCTTGGACCTGGTAGATAGAAGTTGTAGTGAGCAGAGATGGTGCCACTGCACATACAAGCTGGAGGAAACGCAACGATCCACTCAAGAAAAAAAAAAAAGAAAAATAATAACAGGCCAGGGCCACAGTGGTTCACGCCGGCAATCCCAGCCTAACTGGAAGCCAAGCGGTTGGGACATGAACAGGTTTAGGAGTTCAAGACGCAGCATTGCTAACTAGTGGGAAAGAACCCCGGTCTATAACAATACAAAAATTTAGCCAGGCGTGGTGGGCACATGCTGTACCCACACCCCAGCTACTGGAAGGCGAGCCCAGAGGAACGCTTACACGGAGGTGAGGTTGCAGTGAGCTGAAGGATCACACCTTGCCCCAGCCCCTGGAACCAAGAGCGAGAACTCTGACTTCAAAAAAAAAAAAGGAAAAAAAAGAATAACCAACAAATAAAGTTGACCCACCTTTGTGTGGTCACAGTTAAGCTGAGCCATCAAAGAAAACACCCGCCAGAACTAGAAAACCCAAGGACCCATAAAATCATTTCCTGGGTGGTGTTCTCGGAGATATTATGTTCTTACTGACATGGCCTCCATGTTAAACATCAAATTTGGCCCAGGTTACCGGTGGCTCCATGCCTGTAATCCAGCATACAGTGGAAGGCCAAAGCAGTGCGATCACGCTGATCAGGGAGTTTTGATGACAGCCCTGGCCAACATAGGTGAAACGCTGGTCTCTACTAAAAATAAACAAAAATTAGCCAGGTATGGTGGTGTGCATCTGTCCCAGCTACTTGGGAGGCTGAAAGCAGGATACAATCGCTTGAACCCGCGGAAGCGGTGGTGCAGATGAGCCAAGCATGTGGGCACTGCACCGTCCAGCCTGGGGCGACAGAAAGAAGGCTCTGTCTCAAAATAATAAATAAATAAATAAATAAATAACCAATCTAAACGAACTGCCTATAGACACATTACGACCTACCACAAGCATACTGAAATCAAACTCAAATCCAATTCACATAAATTTCTAATCTGTGGCCTGAGGAAACAATATCACTAAAGATTAATTTATAGGGAAATGAAATTTAGGCTTAACCAGGCAATTAATCTCTGATTACATAACCAAAAGTTTCACCTGTACAGACTGTGAAAATAGGTGATTCAAACATTTAAGCTGCTGGAACTCTAAATTATCTTGAGGTTTAAAGGAATGCGATTCTGGGGTTGAGACACCTGACAGGCAGTGGTAACAGAGCCAGCTGGGGAAGGTCCATTCCCTGATTACAGATTAGCTTTCTTTCTTACCTATATTGTTTTGTAACACATTTTAAATGACTGAAGCAAGTCGTGAAAGACCCCTTCCCTCTTAAGGATTGATTTCATTATAGACTAACTTCCCTCTTACTTTTCTCACACAAAGACTCCATGGCCATCACATCTTCTGAAGATGGAAATGTTAAATTCACTTTTTTAAATACGAAAAGAAATGAAAACCTCTTGCAAAGAAAATTTTTAAAGGCCTGGGGCGGGCACGGTGGCTCACGCCTGTAATCTGATACAGGACAATCCCTTGTACCCGGGAGGCAATGGTTGCAGTGAGCCGGAGATTGCGCCACTGCCCTCCAGCCTGGGGCAACAGAGCGAGACTCCGTCTCAAAAAAAAAAAAATCTGGTAAAACAAAAACAGGTCTTCTGGGGAAGCGAGCAGGGACTGGGATGGAATCACGTGGCAGAGACCAGCCTAGCCAATATCATGAAACTCCGTCTCTACTAAAACTACAAAAATTGGCCGGGCGCGGTGGCTCACGCCTGTAATCCCAGTACCTTGGGAGACCAAGGTGGGCGGATCACAAGGTCACGAGGAGTTCGAGACCAGCCTGGCCAATATGGTGAAACCCGTCTCTACTGAAAATACAAAAATTAGCTGGGCGTGGTGGCTGGCGCCTGTATCCCAGCTACTCGGGAGGCTGAGTCAGGAGAATCACTTGAACCCGGGAGGCGGAGGTTGCAGTGAACCGAGATGGCGCCACTGCACTTCAGCCTGGGGCAACAGAGCGAGACTCCGTCTCAAAAAAATAAAATCTGGTAAACAAAAACAGGTCTTCTGGGGAAGGGAGCAGGGACTGGGATGGAGTCACGCGGCAGATAAACAGCCCTCCTTCCTACAGCCTCCAAATTTTAGACAAAGCTTCACACGCTCTCCATCCACCGCCACCTACAGAATCCCTCCACCACCTGTGTCTTCTAACCCCGCTTCCATGTGTCCCGCCTTTCGGCCAAAGGAACTTACACCTTCCCGGCACTGATTCATCATTCTCCTGCAATTCCTGTCTCCCTGAAATGAATAAAACCAAACTGTCATGAGCTGCCTCGGGACCGCTTACTCCGGGCTTCGTGGGGTTGTGTTTCCCTCAGCCGAGGTCTCTCCTATTCGGCTCAGAATAAACTTATTCCACACGGTTTGGGTTTTTCCGTTACCAAACCACAAGCCAGGACTGGGAGTTTCTCATTCAATAATCGCTGTTTGCTAAAATAAACTCTCATTTTTTAACAGTGCCTCCGTTTAATTTTTAACTGGAGAAAAAAAAGGAACTGGGGACCCCACAGGCCACCGCTCCTCCCACACGAACCCCACACCCGAGGCGGGATCCCCCCATGACCCTTCCGTGGTCCCTGAACCACGGGAGACGCGGGGCTGCGGGCGCGGAGCTGCTCAGAGAGGGAGCCGGGGCCGGGGCAGGGGCTGGGACTGCAGTTGCCGCGCAGAGACCTGACAGGACGCCCGGTGTCCCGGCTGCCGGCCCAGCCCCACCCAGCGGCCGAGGGGACGGAGGACCGAGCTGCGCCAGGGGGACTGTGTCCGGACCCCAGCGTCGCTGCAGGGAGGCCTGGGCCCCGCCACAGCGGGTTCCTCTCGGTTCTTTCGCCTTGGGACCCCCCAGCCCAGCGTGCTCACCATTTCCTGGCTTCGAGGTATCCCGGCGTCCTCTCTAAAGGTCCCGCGAATAGTGCAGCTCACCTTGCAGTCGACAGAGCAACAGCAGCTACGGCGGAAGTAACTGGTCCCTCTCAGAGCAGGAAAGACCCATACCTTAACAGGCGCGAACAGCTCTCGGAATGCAGAGAGCGGGAATGCAATCTCCCCTTCCCTGGAGGACAGTGGCAGGGCCCCGCCCTAGCGCCCCTGATTGGATAGGGGTCTAGACTCCGCCCCCTTCCCTGAGTGACAGCAGAAGCCCTGGGTAACCTGGCGCTGCAGAGCCGAAGTGACCGGTTCTGGCCACACTTTCAAGGTCAGCTCGGTACCTCCCTCCCACCTTTACTTTGAATATTTGCCTTCGGCTGGCCCGACGCGGTGGCTCACTCCTGTAATCCCAGCACTTTGGGAGGCCGAGGCGGGCGGATCACGAGGTCAGGAGATCGAGACCATCCTGGCTAACACGGTGAAACCCCCATCTCTACTAAAAATACAAAAATTAGCTGGACGTGGTGGTCAGCGCCTGTAATCCCAGCTACTTGGGAGGCTGAGGCAGGAGAATGGCGTGAATCTGGGAGGCAGAGCTTGCAGTGAGCCGAGATCGCACCACTGTACTCGAGCCTGGGCGACTGAGTGAGACTCTGTCCCAAAAAAAAAAAAAAAAAAAAAAAAATGGCTGGGCATGGGGAGACCAGGTCTCTACTAAAAAGATAAAGATAAGTAAATAGATTAGGGCCAGGCGTGGTGGCTCACGCCTGTAATCACATCACTTTGGGAGGCCGAGGCGGGTGGATCACTTGAGGTCAGGAGTTCGAGACCAGCCTGGCCAACATGAAGAAACCCCATTTCTACTAAAAGTACAAAAATTAGCCAGGTTTGGTGGCTGGCTAATTTTCTAGCCAAGCAGCCTCTTCCTTTCTCACTCTGCTAAGCTGTCTTGCTACTAAACCTAATTTACTGACCTCAGGTTGCTATATAATCTTCTTTTTTATAGCTGGGTGGGTCTTCATTCTGAAGGTTCCCATGTATACATGTTAAATACATTTGCATGCCTTCTTTTCTATTAATCAATCTGCCTCAGATCAATTAGTTTTCAGCAAACCTTTAGGACACCAAGAGTCTATCACCCCCACAAAGCCATCCCCTTGTCTCAGGGCAGGAGGGGAAACAGGTCAAGCATGCCTGTTCCAGGAGGGAGAGACAGATATCCTGCAGTGGGGCAGGAATTGGGATGAGGCATGGCCAAGGCTTCCTCACATACACCCATCTTCTCCTCACAGTGTGGAAACTCTCCCTCCTCTCCACACCTTCGTTTTCATTAGCAGGAAACTCTCACCTGGAGTCGGTTTCATCTTATTACCCGAAAGGGGTACCAATCTAGACCCCAAAAGAGAGCTCTTGGATCTCATGCAAGAACTAATTCAGGGTGAGTCCATAAAGTAAAAGCAAGTTTATTAGAGAAGTAAAACAAAAGAATGGCTACTCCATAGGCAGAGCAGCAGCATGATCTGCTTGACAGAGTATATTTATAGTTATTTCCTGATTATGTGCTAAATCAAGGGGTGGGATTATTCATGAGTGTTCTGGAAAAGGGGCAGACAAATTCCAGAACTAAGGTTCCTACCCCATTGTTATTACCACATAGGGTAACATCGGACATTGCCATGGTATTTGTAAAGTGTCAGGCACTGGCGGGAGTGTCTGTTAGATGTTTAATGCATTATCAATTTATGTATTAATAGCAGTGAGGACCACACGAGTTCCACTTCTTTTTCTTTTCTTTTCTTTTTTTTTTTTTTTTTTTTGAGACAGTTTCACTCCCTCACCCAGGCTGGAGTGCAGCAGCACAATCATAGCTCACTGCAGCCTCTCTGCCTTCCTGCAGCCTCTGCCTCCCGGGCTCAAGCAATCCTCCCAGCTCAGCCTCCCGAGTAGCTGAGACTACAGGCGCAGGCCATGACAACCAGCTAATTTTTGTATTTTTTGTAGAGATGGGGTATCACCGTGTTGCCCAGGGTGGCAGAGGTCACTTTCGTCGCCATCTTGGTTTTGGTGGGCACTCTGTTTTATCAGTGGGGTCTTTATGACCTGTATCTTGTGATACCAGTCCTGCCATCCTCCTAGCTCATCCTGTGACTAAGAATGCCTAACCACCTGCAAGTGCTGCCCAGTAGGTCTCACCCTTATTTTACCCAGCCTCTATTCAAGATGTCAGGCCTCTGAGCCCAAGTCAAGCCATCGCATCCCCTGTGACTTGCACGTATACACCCAGATGGCTTGAAGTAACTGAAGAATCACAAAAGAAGTGAAAATGCCCTGCCCCACCTTAACTGATGACATTCCACCACAAAAGAAGTGAAAATGGCCGGTCCTTGCCTTAAGTAATGACATTACCTTGTGAAATTCCCTTTCGTGGCTCATCCTGGCTCAAAAAGCTCCCCCACTGAGCACCTTGTGACCTCCACTCCTACCTGCCAGAGAACAACCCCCCTTTGACTGTAATTTTCCTTTACCTACCCAAATCCTATAAAACGGCCCCACCCTTGTCTCCCTTCCCTGACTCTCTTTTCGGACTCAGCCCACCTGCGCCCAGGTGATTAAAAAGCTTTATTGCTCACACAAAGCCTATTTGGTGGTCTCTTCACACGGACGCTCATAACACAAGATGAATTCACTCCGTTTCAAACACTCTGACATTCTGACTTTATAAATAAAGTCAACTTTAGAAACCCTTTGTTCATAACACAACCCAATTTGTTCTCTGAGCCTGACCTTCACAGATTTTCTTCATATATATAAATTACAGTCTGTCCCCAGCGACCCTGTGCATGCCAAAACCAAAACACTGCCCAGAAAATAGCTCCAGGCTTCAGAGGTACAACCCCAGATAGGACAGAATCCACAAACGCATCTGCACGTTGGTCTTCTGCCTTCCAGGTCTCTGCAACTTCCCAGAATCCACACTCCTTCTGGAGCTGGAGGCCACCTTCAAGGAGGGTCCGGCTTCCGCGGAAGCCCCCGGGGGAGCTCCCTTTCCCTCCTTTTGCAAACTCCAGACTGGCCTCAGCCGGGCGTCATTGGCCTCGGGCTCTGCTGCCCCCTGCAGGTTATTTAACCGCTTCTCACCTCGTTATTCAGTTGCTAGAGACAAACACCCTCAATCCCAGTTTGTGAGTAAGACACCAGCAGCGTCTCTGCTTTCCTCTTGTGGTGTTTTTTGTTTGTTTGTTTGTTTTGAGACTGAGTCTCGCTTAGTCCCCCAGACAGGAGTGCAGTGGCGCGATCTCGGCTCACTGCAAGCTGCGCCTCCCGGGTTCACGCCATTCTCCAGCCTCCGCCTCCGGAGTAGCTGGGACTACAGGCGCCCGCCACCAAGCCCGGCTAGTTTTTTTGTATTTTTTTAGTAGAGACAGGGTTTCACCGTGTTAGCCAGGATGGTCTCGATCTCCTGACCTCGTGATCCGCCCGCCTCGGCCTCCCAAAGTGCTGAGATTACAGGTTTGAGCCACCATGCCCGGCTAGTTTTTTTGTATTTTTTTAGTAGAGACAGGGTTTCACCGTGTTAGCCAGGATGGTCTCGATCTCCTGACCTCGTGATCCGCCCGTCTCGGCCTCCCAAAGTGCTGGGATTACAGGCTTGAGCCACCGCGCCCGGCCTAGGTTTTTAATGGTATTCCCAAAGAAACACAAATCATGCCATGAGCGTGTCCTCTCTAGAAAAATAATTAAATACAATGGTTGAAGTAAGAGTAGAAACTCCCTCTTGGAGTCTTCTCCCTAATGTGACACAAACATCATGGGTGAGTTTTTGCCAGGTGAATAGCTTGAACCTGCGAGGAGGAGGTTGCAGTGAACCGAGATGGCACCACTGCACTCCATCCTGGGTGACAGAAGAAGACTCCATCAGAAAGAAAAGAAAGGAAGGGAAAAGGAAGGGAAGGGAAAGGGAAGGAAGGGCAGGGGAGAGGAGGGGACGGTAGGGGAGGAGAGGGGATCGGGAGGGGTGTGCAGCCCAGGAGGAGAATAAAGGGGGCCAGGGAGGCTTAGTCAGTGGGTGGTGGGTATGTGGGTGTGTGCCCTGTCAGCCTCGCATTGTGCAAAAGATCAGAATTCAGTTGTGAGTTTATGAAAGTGAAAAGCAGGAAATGGCCATAAGAAATGGGCTCAGTTTTTCCTTGCTCAGACTTATTTTCACAACCCCAAACCCTCTGCAGGTCACATTTCCTTCTCTCATTTTGTGAGGCGGGCAAGATCACGGGTCAAGAGATTAGAACCGATCCTGGCTAACACGGTAAACCGTCTCTACTAAAAAACAAAAAATTAGCAAGGTGTGTGGGCAGGCCCCTGTAGT